AAGCTGCATTGCAGTGCTGAATGGGTGGGCAGGGCTGCATGGTTATCCAAAGCAGGGGGCGATGCTGGAAAGGGGCAGTTGGTGGCTGGGTTTCAGGGAGCTTTGGCAGTGCGTGATGGATGTGCCAGGGGTATCGCTGGGTTTGCTTCAGTGCAGTAGCCTTGTGGGTGGAGATGTTGGCTGTGCTTCAGAGATGCTGGCTGGCTGCAGCAGGGGTCTGCTGTGCCAAGCAGACATACTGAGGGGCACCACAGGAGTGCACTCCCCCTTTGTTTGCAGCTGAGCAAGGTGGTGCTGGTGATACTGATGTGGGGGAAAGGGTTCTGGGGTAGGAAAGCAAAGCTGTTGGGTGGGCAGAGAGCTCTGCTCTGCATCACTCCAGCAAAGCAAGGTGGAACTGTGCCTTCTTGTAGCTACTACAAGAAGCAATGTTTCTTTGGGGGAGAACTCTCTTTCTTACTTTCCATTCCCTGTTGCAAATGAAAGAGGAACCAGCTACCCTTGTTCAACCAAACAGGCTGAGAGCATCTCCACTGCCAAAGAAGGACAAGCTCTTGGTGAACATTGCTGTAGTGTGAAAAGTAAGGGCTCCTCTTTGCATGTGACTTGACACACCGCGGCTCTCAAGAGACTCCAGCTGGGCTGAGCCGCCTCTAGCAAAAGAGGTGCAGGGGTTTGTAAATCCACTTCTTCTGCAATAAACCTTTTGACAAGAAAGTCACCTGTTGGCAACGCCTCCTTCCATTTTCCTCCCATCAGCTGAGCAGCACATCCCACTGGACAGATCTGATGTACTAGGGAAGTGAATTCCTGTGATACCTTCGGCAAGTCATTGGAAGAGGGAGGGGAATCTTTCCAAAGAGTTTCTGGGCATATTTTCATGGAGGGGCTGGGTTTTCAGACCCCCCCCAGTAGCTCTTTTAGGCTCCCCCCATGATGTCTATGGGCAGGTTTTTCAAAGAGTCTGATGCTCAACTTGCTTTTGAAAATTTGGTCACTTATTTTGGTGCCTAAATGAGAGCTGAACCCATCTGAAAATTACATCCTCCAGAGGCTCTCTTCTGAAACACTTAGCATCATCAGTTTAGGCCAATACTGAGCCCTTTGGGAAACACCCTCCTGATTCAATTTGGGCCTCAGTTTCCCATTGGTAAAATGGGGGATCATACAGCTTCCTTTCTCCCACCCTTATTTGTCTTCTCTATTTAGGCTGCAAGCTGCTTTTGGCAGCAACTACCCCATTGCTCAGTGGAATGGGGCTGTGATCTCCTTTGGCATCTAGAGGTGCTACAGCTCTCGCTCTTGCAGTGACACTGTCAAGATGCAGAACTTGAAGGAGATACCCCACCTTTCCCTAATGTCTTTCATCTGAGGCATTAGTTAAGCCTCACATACTCCCTGGGCAGCAGGGATGTATCAAACTCCATTTTACAGAGAAAGTGAAGCAGAGAGAGGTGTGCGAGTTTAAAGTTACAGATAGACTGAGTGGCAGGGCTGGGACTGGAACTCAGGACTCCTGACTAACTATTAGATGAGACAGCCTCTCATGGGACAAATCCCCCCAGTGCCCAAGGCTATAGAAGGGCCAGGGATTATCCTATTTCTAACACTGAGCTGGGAAAGCTTTTGGATCTGGTCCTGAGCTAATACAATGTTCCCAGCCAACCCACCTAAAATCACCCGTTTCTGGATTCTCAGACAAACTTGGAGCTCTGGAAAGGGTCATCAAGGCCTAGGGAGTATACCGGGAAATCTGGGGTGGTTTGACAGCTTTGTGTGCAAACCGGATGACGCCTGAGGGCCCCGCAAGTTTAACTTTGAGGAACCAGAACCTGAAATTCCAAGGGGGTAGTAAGGCCACTAACATGGCGGCAATGCCATTCCCACCCCACATCCCTTCAGGTGCTGCTCAGCTCTGGCTTTTGGCTAGGAGTCAAACAGGTTGCGTGGGTTGCCAGGGCAGGAGAGGAACCTCTGTGGAATCCATACATCTGAGGAAGTGGGTCTGGCCCACGAAAGCTCATCATCTAATAAACCATCTTGTTAGTCTTTAAAGTGCTACATTGTCCTGCATTTTGATCCTATTTCTAGGCATGTGGAAGAATGAAAATAGAGGCTCAATGGCCTTTGGTGCCCCCTTGTGGGTTTGGGTAAGAATCACTGAACTATGGGGTTGGAAGGGACCATGACAAGTCAGAACCTCCATCCCTCTGTGTCGAGGCTGGACAGAGTACATGTAGATCATTCCTGACAAATGTTTGTCCAACTTGCTCTTAAAAACCTCCCATGACAGGGACTCCACAGCCATCCTGGTCCAGAGCTTAACCACCCTGAGAGTTAGAAACCTTTTCCTGAGATCTCACCTAAATCTGCCTTGCAGCAAATTAAGCTCATCATCTAATAAAGCATCTTGTTAGTCTTTAAAGTGCTACATAGTCCTGTATTTTGTTTCAGTAAGTAAATAGTTCAAATAATTACAAGAGGCTGATAAGAACAATTAGCACCTGAATTGTTAGGTTGGTTGGTTAAGTCATTAGGATATGGAAGATAGTGTGCTAGCCAAGAATTAAACTTGTGAATGAAGTTAAGTTCTAACCCTTCTCTGTGTATTTGGCTTGTTGAATTGGCCTGAAACAAAATGGTGACTTGGAGATACATTAATGAGTGTCCAGGCAGATTAAAGTGTTCTCCAACAGGTTTTTGTGTATTGCCTTTTTGGCTATCTGATATGTGTCCATTAATTCTTTTCCGTAGCGTAGAGACTGTCCAGTTTGGTCAATATACATTGCAGAGGGGCATTGCTGGCATAGATCACGTTAGTGGATGAGTAGTTAAATGAGCCTCTGATTTGATGGCTGATGTGGTTGGGTCCCGTGACGAAAGTTTAAATGAGCCTCTGATTTGATGGCTGATGTGGTTGGGTCCTGTGACGAAAGTGCTGGTGTAGATGTGTGGGCAGAGTTGGCACTGGGGCTGATTGCAGGGGTGGATTCCTGGATGATTATGATGGAGGTGTGTTGCATGGCCAATTCCGCTAATGACTTAGCACCTCCATTGTTAGGTTGGTTGGTTAATTGTTCTTATCTGCCTCTTGTAACTATTTGAACTATCTACTCACTCTCTCTTTTTTCTTCCCCTTCTTTTTCCTTCTCCCCCTCTCTTGCCTTCCCTTATTTATTCTTGGATCTGGACTTCTAATACTCCTGTCATCTGAAGAAGTGGGTTTTGCCCATGAAAGTTCATGATACCAGCTACATGTTTTGTTACTTAGCTACTAGACTATTTGTTGTTTTTTAAGTTTTTCCAGATTATTATGTTATCTACCACTATCTTAGACTCCCTCCTCTTTAAAATGGGGACTTCTCACAGATGGTGTGAACAACATTCATTAAAGGGGACAAGTCTTGAGTTTTTGAGGTAGACAAATTACCATTGTCTTCCATCTTGGCTAAGAATTAATAACTAGTGATCTGTTTTGTTTTGTTAATCAGGTTATATTAGTGGCTTGGATGCCAGGAGGAAATTGAGGCAAAATATCTCTTGATTACTCAAGGGACTGATAAAAATCAGCTGTCTGAATAAAACTGGTCTGTCTCAGGGTTTTCTAGTTAATACCCAATTTTTTTGGTCAGTAGTTCAAAGGAGGGGAGCAAAATGATCCTTAGTCTGTTTTAGGAATACTCTTTAGGCAGATGGCAGTTTACTAACAGTGTTTTCTTTCACAGATTTCGCTGTATATAACTTCCATAAATTCTCATATGCACAAATGCCTAAATAGGAGATGGGATGAGTAAGGGGAATTGGGAGACAGAGCCCTTCCGCCTTGGGACACTGGCCCAGCTTGTAAGCGGACATCCCTGTCACCTGATGGCTGTTTGCAGCTTGTGTGATATGCATATTTGTTGGGTACTACGGTGGTGGATTGATGCCCTGTTACTAAAAACAGGCTTCCACTAATTGGTCCTCAGAGTAAATATCCAGGAAATATCCATGTGGACTAATGGCTCACCTGTGGCCCTGGAGCTGGTCTCTAAGAACAAGAGATGAAGTATATTGATAGACAGGCCATTTGCCCAGTTTCAAATGGGACTGTTCTGCCATTTGTAGCCCATCTGGTACTCAGCCAAAACTGGCTGTGGTTTTATCCACTGTCAGATGAGGAAGCTCCATACTGAAGCACATGCCTAGGTCAGCTGGGACCTCACATATGCCATCTGAGTGAGGAATCAGCAGAACTGTCCTCAAAAGAGCACCCTTCCTGTCCAGCATGACTCCCACACATACCCAGAGGGGATGGGGTCAGACTGGGATGTTTCTGGAGGTTCTAGAAAGTGTGAGTGGCTACCCTACCTAGTGGCAGCAGGATGGTGCTTTGGGCATGTGACTGAGATGCTGCACCACACTCCTGAATATCATAAGTTTAACAATCTTGCTCTGGCAGACCATCTCTGGTTAACCCCCTCCCCCTGTTAGGGCAGCCAAATGGGGACGGAGGAGATGCTACTGGCCACATCACTCTCTCTTGTGCTGTTGGCTGTGAAACTGTGAAGGTAGCTTCACTAGCTGAGCTGTGGGGGTGAGGGGACAATAACTGTATGAACATTGTGTAGAAAAGGGAGTCAGAGGACTACAGCCCCTAGCAGCCTTTGCAATTGAGCCTGGAAATACTACACCTCCCAACAGCCTGTGCAGCTGTCTGCAACCACTA